TTTTTTTTTTATCGATAAGCTTTTTTTCTATATCGCCCAGCCCTACTTACTAACATCCAGGCATTAATAGAAAGCATCTGCAGGCTTGCATACGAAAATGCATATGTTCCTTTATATATGAAGATGAACAAGCCAGGAATGGGAATGTGAGCTTATTATATGTGCAACTGCTAAGCTGTGGTGTTCAGGGAACTCTTATAATTAGCACTCTTGAAGATATCCAGTGACCCACATCTGATAATGAAGGCAACACAAACGTTCTATTTACATATCTTTAGTCGGTAATGTGTGACAACTGGGAGAACCCACTGGTTCAGTTTATAGTGTCAATGAAGAAAGAAAGGAAAGTTAAGCTGAGCTACCTGGGATACTTTCAGGGGATTTTATGAGATAAACTGTAGTTAAATAGCTTTCAGTTGGTGTTTTTCTTCTCAACAAACAAAGGAGATTATATTCCAAGGTTTTTTTCTTCTCTAGGCATATTTTATGACAACAATTTCAACAGTTTTTTTCTCTACGCAATAAAATAAAATGGAGCCTAGGCGGAGGTTCAACTGAAGAAACTCGTTGCTTTCCTACATCCACCTGCGACACAGCCAATCAACTTTGAACCACACCTCCATGAAAGCCAATCAGCATCCAAAGTTCATCTTAAAAAGCCTCCGATACGCACTTGTCTGATCCTGTGCGCAGGCGTCGATGCGCTGTGTGACTTCATTCAGATGACACTGTTTCAACCCAACTTCAGCCCCTCCTCCACCATCGTAGCTAAAGCTTCATCAGAGTGTCATTCCTCCCGGACTCTTCCTGCATTCCCTGTCTCATCCTAACCAGTCCGGCAGAAGACCGCCGTGTTGAGTCTGGTTCCGGGGAGTTTTTCCTCTCCACTGTCGCTTCATGCTTGCTCATGGACAGGTTCTCTCAACCTGTGTTCTCCAACTGGACTTCCAACTTCATCCTCAGGTCCCTGAGTGAAGCTCTAGAATCAGCTCATGCAATCCACTGGATCTTCCCATAAAGCTCAGCATATCGTCTCGCTAACCAGCAGTCTACAGACTGACCAACTTCATCTATCTCCTTATTCTTTGCTCCTGTTCATGCATATCTGTCAAAATTAAGCGCAATATTTCCTGCCGAGGTCTGAGAGCCAAAGACAAGGTAATTGTACCAATTAATTTCTCCTAATTGTCTTTTTTCTTTGTGTGAGTTTTTCAGATTGAACTAAGAAAAATCCTCTGTGATGTCATATTTTTAAACTACTTTTGCAAAATAATTTTAAAGTAGATTTTTAAAAACAATGCTTATCTGTGAAGTAGGGATAAATCTACAGAAATATTTGTTTTTAGAAGAACACAACTATTTGTATCCTTGCTATCAATATGTGTTTTGCCTCCCTTGTGCACGTTGTTTTGGTCTTTTATTTCACATGCTTGAGGGATACGGACCATTTCTTTAGATATTGAGAAGTCGTGATTCCTCTCTTATGCTCTAAAAAGTTTTCTACAGGATTTATGTCTGGGTAGTTACATGTTGCAAGAGGTGGATTTTTGTCTGGTTAACCATTTCTCAGTTCTGCTGGCCATAATATATAAATTCCAAAAAATGCTTCCAGGTTTTTTTATGTTTTTGTTTTATTGTTGTTGGGCTTTTTTTCTTTGAAGAAAAACAGGTCCACAGCTTGCCACCTTGAAGCTTTTTTATGACTTCAATGAATTTAGCCTACTTATTCTTATTCAGTTAAAGTTCATTCGTGTTTAGAGGTTGTTTTTTTCATCAGTTCACTTTTTTATTTTTCAGACATCTATTTTTTTTTTAAATCTGATCTGTGGGAGAAAAAAAATCCATTTCGCATTTACAAGGCTTATAAAGAGATTAGCGAACACAAAAATGAAGGGTATATGAAGGATATCTGTAGTTTTATTACTTTAATGAATGCACAACAGTTTGATACAGTTATATTCATAAGTTTCCCTTTTAATTACAGTTTCTGTTTATTTCAGTTAACAAAAAATGGTTTCTTAATTTCATTTTT